AGGCTAAATATAAAAAACGATAAAAATAAAATCTAATTATTATAAAATTTTTTTTATACTGATTTTTCTCTCTTTTATTCATTGAGTCATCCGCTCTATTTTCGTAGAATCACAATCGATGTAAATATCCAGATAGGTAGTATCTCGCACCAAGTACACGTTCATACATATGTAAATAAATACGTAAGCGCGGTGACGTGAGATGAGTCTATTGCAGCGTATTTTCCGCCCTCGGAATTTTCCCACCCTCAATCGCTCCAAATTTTCTCGATGGTATTCATTATTTATACTTTATTTACTTCTAAACCGAATCACGATTTCGCACTTTTTTCTTCATTTTCCCAGTCTCCACTTTCTCTTAATATTTATCTATTCTTGCTCTCCGTTTATTATTACGTTCGTTCTCGGATTCCAGTCTTGACATCGGCCACCACCTCAAAAGAGGTATAGGTATATCTTACTCTTTTGAATTAATCTTATTTTCTACCTTGTCGGTTGATGCGTTTTCCCTTTTTCTTTATTTTCTAAGGCCGTGAGCTGACAATGCTCCTTTTCGCCGATCCTCACACCATGTCTTTTCCTGCACTACTGAATTTTTTATTTCCCGTTTTCCTGGACACGGGTATATAAATCTAACCATACGTCTTATCTTACAACCCTATTTTCCAATTAATTTTATTTTTGTAACCTGTCGTCTATTTTTTTATTTAGAAAAAAATCTATTACACAAATTTTACTTTAGTTTCTTTTTAAGTTTTCTGTTTAATTAATTATTAACTTGGAAAATAATTTAAGCAAAAATTTTTGAGAACAATTAATTTTGGGAAAAGTTAAAAAATTAAAAATTTTATTAAAATATAAATGTAATAAATAATTTCCCGTATAAAAATGAATTGATCAACTAGCAACCTTGCAGTTACTAGGTGACTGTCGTGACCAGTGAACTTTCTTAACTATTGACGTTTTTAAAGACTAATATCTTTAAAAATGTCAATAGTTCTCAAGATATTAGTTAGATTGCATTGTACTTTCTTAAATATTGATGTTTTTAAAAATATAAGTTCATCCTGATATTACACTCATCAAGAGCTTTCATTTGAGTACCCACATGCATTTTGATATATTTTTCATATATACATATATATAAAATATACAAATATATGAAAAATTCATGTGGGTACTCAAATGAAAGGTCTCGATGAGAGTAATCTCAGAGTGAGCTCATATCTTTAAAAATGTCAATAGTTCACGAGATACAAGGTCATTTCTTAATTATGTATTTTGAGAACTATTGACATTTTTTAAGATATAAGCTCATCCCAATGTTACACTCATCAAGAGCTTTCATTTGAGTACCCACATGCATTTTGATATATATATATATATAATGTATATATAAAAAATTTATGTGGGTACTCAAATGAAAGGTCTCAATAAGTGTAATGTC